CCCTCCAGCTAGCTTTTATTCAAGGTGGTTAAGAAGATAAAACACAAGAGATGACATGCAAAAAAGCCTCTTTTCTGTGTCCTGTTGATGTTACTGGTATAATGTTGGACTAGATGGTTGGCGTGGTGGCGCTGCGGGATTAAACCACAGAAGCCTCTGTCCTGCAAGGTCAGAAGACCAGCCGTCGTAAGATCGAATCCACGTGACAGAGGAAGCTCCCGTCGCTTGTCCCAGCTCCTGCCAACCTAGCCAGCCGTTCGAAAGCATGTAGAAATGCGAGTAGATAAATAGGGACCACCTTGGTGGGAAGGTAACAGCGTTCCGTGTCTAGTTGCGCTGGCCACGTGACCACGAAAACTGTCTTCAGGCAAACGCTGGCTCTACGGCTTGGAAATGGGGATGAGCACCACGCCCTAGAGTCGGACACGACTGGACTCAATGTCAAGGGGAACCTTTACCTTTACCTAGATGGTGGAAATGTGGAGCAGGGTTGTCAGCTGGTGGACATCAGCCATCCATATAGTTGCCGTGAGTTGGGAGCCTGACCGTAGATATCATTGCAAAGCACCCTGAATGGTCGTTTGCGTCCTACATGTCATACCATAGTTTTGCTTTTCGAGCACTCCACCAAGTAGTTGTACCTGACGAGGGCAGCCCACGATCATCCAGAAGTCAGCCTGGTTATGTTTCTGTGAAAAAGCAGAAGTGCCATGAAATAGTTACCGAAACAGAACAACTCCGTCCCTTAACGAAACCCAGCTAAATCCAAGTTGCAGTCAGCATTGACAATGAAAAAGGCTGCGTAGTGCGGAGTTACGGAGGATCGGATCAGCATGCGAACGGGCCGGTCAGCAGTCTCGTGACCGAGATTTGTGCTGGCCAAGGGGCCAGGCAGGCGCTTGATCAGCATTCGGATTTTGAGCTCCTGTCGGGGTTGATCTCATGCTGAGTCAGAGAGGACCCGGCTTACAGGGCATGTGCGAACAGCCACGCCAGGCCGGTGGGAAACGGAAAGGCTGTCTTTCTGTTGCAGACCCAAAGTGTGAAGCAGGAACCATGCTAACACTTCAGGGGTGTTCAACATGAAATGGGCCCTATTAGAAAGGTGGACGAGGGAATGGAATAACAAGGAAGGGAAAAGTAGAAAAATGGCAAAATTTGATTATTGAAAAAAAAGATTGAAATTGGAGGAAAAGACAGAAAGAAAGCGAACTGTAAGTCAAATATATAAATTATTAATGCAAGCGGAACAGGGTACACAAGGATTAAAAATGCAATGGCAATATGATCTGGATTAAGAAGTACGTAATAGGTGAAGAATGGGATAAAATATGGGATCAAAGAATTATGAAGAACATGTCAGTAAGGATAGAAATGGGCACAAAACTACCAGTTCACGCCGGTTTGTACTTCGGAACAGCAGGTGATTGGCGCTTCTCGGTCCCGCCTCTTCCGGTGGGCACCCACTCAAGAGGTATGCCGGTTTGTACTTCGGACCAGCAGGTGATTGGCGCTTCCAGGTCCCGCCTCTTCTGGTGGGCACCCACTCAAGAGGCAGCCCCCCCACTTCCCTGCGCCACCAACTCTGGGTGTTGCCTCTGAGTGGGTGCTCACCGGAAGAGGCGGGACCGGGAAGCGCCAATCACCTGTTTGTCTGAAGTACGAACCGG